TACTTGTGCTCTTGCTTCTCCCTCTTCTCCTTAGCTTCCTTAGGTCTAAATATGTCAAAAGTCCTCAAAATACCATTTTTTCCATGTATATATATATACCAAGAAGGGTCGGGCCCAAACAAATACACCTTCTCCTACGCGAAATAGGACACTTTTCCCGAACAGGACGTGCGTGGCCGCGCACTTGGAAGTGTTCTCACGCACTTGGCCGCGCACGTTTCACCCTGTTCTACCTCATATGCGCGCCCAATGCGCGGCCGCGCACGTGGGTGGCTGTCTATTGGGATTTTGGGAAAACATAAAAAATAAAAGTTGTAGCCCTGTTGAATAGCTTTCCAACGATATATTGTGGAGACCAAATGGAGTTCTGAGAAAAATGTTATGTGCATTTTACTGTACACTGCACAATATGCCTGCTCGATTCTTCATTTTATTCCACTATCATCCGTTGATCCCTGAACACGATCCCGACTTAATCCTTGGACTTTTACTCATACTTCAAAGATACCGAATAACTTGAATTCATTCCATAACATCTACATAGATCAAAATCACTCCTAAAAGGCATAAAACACACAATTAATGTAAAACACTAGCGATTAAAGCTCTAACTCAATTAAAGTGCAGTAAATTAGTGTGTAATAATCGACTAAAACATGAGATTATATCCTACAATTAGTTTTCTATTGCAAGTATTGTTTGTCGTTTTTACCATGCTTAGCTTTATATTGATATTGTTCCCTATTAGTTTCACATTCATACTTGTACAAGTTATTATGTCTAGTAGGTGTCTTGGTTGTTCCTCGTCTCTACTCCACCGAGGTTAGTCTTTTATACTCATTGGGTACTGCTGTGGTGTACTCATGCTACACTTGCTGCACATTTTTTATAGATCCAGGTATCTAGGAGCTTGTTGATCATTAGATAGCTGACCGAGTATTGCCGTGGAGACTTCAAGGTATACCTGTCGTCGTATTCGCAGGCCTCAGAGTCACCTTCTGAAATCTTACTTTGTATTGTTTACTTCTATTCCGGAACAGTTGTTTTTAGAAATTTTCCTAGTGAACTCAGTATAACTTATGACTTGTACTACCGGTTGAGATTGTTGGCTTTATATAGAAATATATGGTTCATGTTTAATAGTTGTTTTGGTTAAATTCTGTTATTAATTAAGTAAGTGTTAGGCTTACCTAGTCCTAGAGACTAGGTGCCATCACGACTCTTAAGGAGGGTTTTCGTGTTGTGACAAGTTGGTATCAGAACTTTAGGCTCATAGGTGCTACGAGTCATAAGCGAGTTTAGTAGAGTCTTGCGGATCGGTACGGAGACATCTGTACTTATCTTCGAGTGGCTACGGAACTATTAGGAAACTTCACTTCTTTCATTCCTATCGTGCGAGTTTATTGATTTCGGAGTTTGAGCCTTTGTCATTCTATTTTCTCACAGATGGTGAGAACACGAGTTGTAGTTACTAATGACGCTGCCCCCAGAGCTGATGTTGCTAGGTGCCTGGGTAGAGGCACAGGTAGAGGCAGATGAGGAGCACATGCTACAGCTAGAGCACCTACCAGAGCAACAACTGAGAAGCCACTAGTAGCTCCGATTAGGGGACAGGCACTGGAGGCTCCTATTGCTAACTTGGGACTTCATGAGACTTTAGCCCAGTTTTTGAGCATGTTTGATACATTGGCTCAAGCGGGACTGATACCGATTGTACCAACTACTTCACAAACAGAGGGAGGAGCTCAGACTCCCGCCGCCCGTACTCCAAGGCAACGAGTCCACGTTGGTCAGGTTCCAAGTGTCATGCCAGCACAACCTGTTATTCCGGTATAGCCTGTTGTTCAGGTTCAGCACGTAGTTATGGGCAGGAGCAGCTTGGACTAGAGAGGTTCAAGAAGTATCACCCTCCTACTTTCAATGGTTTGTCTTCATGGGATGCACATTATTTTCTAGAGGAGTGCCACTGTATTCTCCATCCCATGGGTATTGTGGAGACGAGTGGGGTTGCCTTTACTACATTCCAGCTATCAGGAGCAATATATCAGTGGTGGAGGGTTTACGAGAAGGGTAGCCTATCCGATGCAGCTTCAATTACATGGACATGGTTTTCAGAGTTATTCTTGAGAGTTTGTTCCTCAGACCCTTAGGGATGCATGGTGCACAGAGTACGAGAATCTGCGCTATGGTACTATGTCAGTGTCAGAGTATGCTGTTAGATTCAGAGATTTTTCCAGGCACACACCTGCTTTGGTTTCTACAATTAGAGAGCGAGTCTGCAGGTTCATTGAGGGGCTCAGTTATGGTATCCGATTCAGCATGGCTTGGGAGTTGGAGATGGATGTTCTGTTTCAGCATGTGGTAGAGATCGCTCGCAGATTAGAGGGTATGCAGGGTCAGGACAGAGAGGGCAGGGAGGTTAAGAGGCCGCGTGGACCGGGAGGATCTGTTGATCCCTATTTTGGAAGCAGGGTACGTCATGGTAGAGGTTTTGTGGGTCAGCCGGTTCGGTTTGCACTTCAAGCTTCACGTGATGCTTCGGACATTCATTGGTCTAGGAGTACCCGTACCAGACATCTTCCACAACCACGTCGTCCAGACTCCAGACATATGTGTCACAGCGGGGTATTCAGGTTATGAGTTCTGCTCCAGTTGCTGCTATAGTTGCACCGCCAGTTAGGGGTGGAGGTCAGGCAGGTAGAGGTCGCTCTAGAGGGGTAGGTCGGGCCCATTATTACGCTCTTTCTAAATGGGCAGAGGCCAATGCACCAGATAATCTCCTTACAAGTATGGTTTCAATTGAGTATAGAGATGCATTTGTGTTACTTCGATCTGGTCCTATTTATTGGTAAGATTCAGTATGCCTTGCTTTAGATATTGTTGTATTTTGTGATTCTTCTACTTTGTTCATGTGTTCACGCCAGTCGAGAATTTTATTGTGATATCTCATGTCTATCATTCTATTTTGGTTGCCATTGTAGGTCATAAGACTTGGGTGGACTTCTGTTAGTTAAATACGGTGGGATTTGATGTGATCTCCGGATGGTTTGGCCCGACTTGTGGTTTGGGTGCTCTATAGGTATGGGAAGTTACTACGTGTTATGGTTCTGGTTCTACGAGGTTGAGTTAGTAGAATGGTTTAGTTTCTGAGATGTTTACCTTACTCATGATTCCGAGTGAAGGATGGGGACCTGGTGTTCTTTGTGAATAGGTGTGTTGGTGCCGGGCTATGCGCCGTGGTGAGGTCATATTGAGGTAAGATTTGTGTTGGTTGTTGCGTGTATGTTGCTTCTTCCTTATGGATTAGATCCGTAGTATGGTATAGGTAAAGTATAAATGGTTAATGCAGTGTTATTGCACATACACCTCTTGCTCTACTATATTTTTATTGCCTAAAAGGTTCTAAAATGCATCACTGTCGTCTGTTGAAACTCCCCATGGTATAGGAAGGTGTTTTCTACTAAAGCTCCATTAGTGGTATAGGACTTGGCATGTAGACCAAAGAATTAGGCTGGGGATTATTGTTTGGTTTGTATGGAATGAAGCTGCAATAGAAAAGTATATCTGGAATATTGCCCGGGAAAATAATAATTTGTGGGTGAAATGGATCAATCATATTTACTTGAATGAGAGATCATGGTGTCACTACTTTGCCCCTTAGGACTACTGCTAGTATTGGAAGAACATATACTCAATCAAGAAAAATTGTTGCAAGAGGTATTATGCAGAATGGGTGGACCACTCAACCTGTGAAATATACAATACACAGTGGTTACAAATGAAGAAAAGGAGATATAGCAGAGTGTCCATGGAGGATATGGGTGTGAAAAAAAATTCATATCTCTAAGCATAAATTGACTTGTTGTTCATATGAGGTTGCTAATAAAGAAAATGTTATGTCAAATGTGAACCAATCAAGACAACTTGTATTTAATACATAGAAGCTATAACTAGACAATAAAATATAAACTCTTTGAGTGCCAATTCTCTGATTCATGTGTTACGAAGATTCTTAACTGGCAGACATTAGTACACAAAATATAGAGGAACAAGGAAGATTGTTGTAACAACCCGAGCGGTCGTTTTGAGTTTTAGTGCGTCGTTCGGCGGTTTGAGGCCTTGAGTATCTTCACTTCAGGTATTATGACTTATACGTGTGGTCGAAATTCAACTTCGGGAAGTTTAGAGTTGATTTGAAAAGAAAATTCTAATTTCGGAAGCTTTAAGTTGGAAGAATTGGCTAAGGATGAACTTTTGAGTAAACGACCTCAGAATCGGGATTTGAAGGTTCTGATAGGTTTGTATGATGATTTAGAAGTTGGGCATATGTTCAGATTGAGTATCGGATCACCCGGGAGTAATTCGGCTCTTATTATGAAAAGTTGCATTTTTGAAAGTTTTAGAATTTCATAAGTTTAGTTTGAAGTGAATTTTAATGCTATCAATAATCGTTTGGAGTTCTGAGCCTTGGAATAGGTTCGTATCGTGATTTGTGACTTGTACGTAAAGTTTGGCATCATTCCGAGATGTTTGAGTGTAATTCGGACGAGTTCGGCAAAGTTTGAATGTTAGAAAGTTGAAAGAAAGGTTTTGGCCGTCGATTTGTAATTTTGATGTTATTTGATGTGATTCAAGGTTTCGAATAAGTCTATATCGTGATATGGGATGTGTTGGTATGTTTCGACGGGATCCCGGGGGCCTTGGGTGTGAATCGGATTGGAAACGAATTGAGTTTGGACTTGGAAGAACTGCTGAAGCTTAAGGCTTCTGGTGCGATCGCACCTGTGAGGTTATGGCCGCAGGTGCGAGACCGCAGAAGCGGCCCAAAGGTTGTAGAAGCGGTAGGGAGTGAGGCTAGATGGGATTCGCAGGTGCGAGGAATTTGCCGTACCTGCGGACTCGCAGATGCGGGTGGAGAAGCGCAGAAGCGGAAGTGGTCTGGGGCTGGTTGATCACAGGAGCGGGTGCTGTAGCGCACCTGCAGAGCCGCAGGTGCGGTCATGGGCGCGCCGGTGCGGAGTGGTGCTCGAGCTAGGGATTCCGCAGGTACAGAGGTTTTTCGCAGAAGTGGATGCACACCTGCAATTGGATGGCCGCAGAAGCGGAAAAAGCTGGCCTTGGGGGAAGCCGCATATGCGAGGAAGCTTCCGCAGAAGCGACTACTGTTCCGCAGATGCGAAAATGTCGCTGGGCAGTGTTGTTTAAAGAATGGGATTTGGCCTATTTTCTTTCATTCTATGTTGGTTTGGGAGATGTTTGGAGAGCTCCAAGTGGAGGTTTTTATCATCTATGTCAAGATAAGTAATTCCCACATATTGTGAGTTAAATACATGATTTATATGTGGATTTGAACGTGAAAATTAATAGAAATTTGAAATTTTGGTAGAAAACTTAGAAATTGGTATTTTTGGATTTTTACCACGAAATTGATCATGGAATTGGAAATAAATCATATATTTGGGTTTGTAATATTATGGGTAAAGTTTATCTTCGAGAAATTTCAGAATCCGGGCACGTGGGCCCGAAGGTCGATTTTATTGACTTTTCGAGCGGAGTTGGGAATTGTTATAAATTGATTAATTATGGGTAATAGAGTATATATTTATGGATTTTCACATTTGTTTGACTAGTTTTGGAGAGACGGACATCGGTTTGAGGTGTTAGAGTGGCATTGGATCCGGCTATGGAACTTCGGAGCGAGGTAAGTCTCCTTTCTAACTTTGTGAGGGGGGTAAACTACCCCTAGGTGATGTATTTGATATGTGCTACTTGTTGCGGGGGCTACGTATGCACGAGGTGACGAGAGTCCATACGTAGCTCGATTCATGTTATGTCCGGGTAGACTTAGGTTCCCGCCATGCTATACCTGTACTATTTGAGTTGTCTCTTCCCTATTAAATTCCCTTATTTTACGTTGCGACTTGAGACTAGACTTGTGTAGAGTGATAGACTTGCTATTGTAGAGATTCGACGGGCTTTATGATTAGCCGCGGATTAATTATACTCCTCCTACGAATTTCTCCCGCGTTATATGTTTTCATCGAAGAGTTTCCCTTAAAATTTATAACCCACACGTCTATTCGTGAGTGGGGTCAAGGACCCGTTAATTCTTCTTATTCTAATAGGATCGAGTCGTTCGCCTCGGCAGTATAATAGATTTATCTATGGTTCGTGCCTTTTGACCCTCGGCAGTGCGCACATTATGATGGGATCGGGTCATTCGCCTCGACAGGATTATGTATCACACTCTCGTGGGAGCGAGCTATTCGCGTTTGCAATAAAATAGATGTATCTATGGTTCGTGTCGTTCAACTCTCGTTAGTACACATATTATGATATCGGGTCGTACACCTCGACATTTCTATAAAATACTCTTATGAATCATGCATTGACAAGAAGCCAGTATATCTGTAAGTTTTTCTGATTTGAATTGTGACGACCTATCTGGTAAGATCCATTATATATATACTCCGATTGAGAAGGTAACTACTAGCTGAGAGCTTGAGTTATTGCTGAGAGGAGAATTTTACTACGTATTTATACTTGTTGTTTCGTTTATTTACTCTGACTCACATCTATTTACTTCTGCTGTATCTGTCTTATTGGACCACAAGTAAGTGTCGATGTCGACCCCTCGTCATTACTTCTCTGGGATTAGGCTAGATACTTATTGGGTACGCATTGATTTACGTAATCATGCTATACTTGTTGCACTTATTGTGCAAGTACATATATGTCTGGTGGCCTTTTGGGCACAGCGACGTGGCCATTGCGGGGACTTTACCATGAGCTACATTCAATGTTACGATCCGCAGCTTGTAGAGCCTCCATCAGAGTTATTTATATTCTCTTATCTAATTTGAATTTCAGACAGAAGTTGTATTTTAATTTATTTCCTAGTTGATACTCATGCACTTGTGACACTGGGTTTTGGGGTTCTTACAAGTTGTATATTATTGTAGTTTGTGTAAATATTATCATTTACCCTGTAAATTCTATTTCATACTATTTAATTAATAAATTTTTTTATTTCAAAATACTAAAATGAGTAATTAAGTTGATTAATTATCGTTGGTTTGTCTGACGGCGAAGTTAGATGCCATCACGACCTTTAGTGGATTTTGGATCGTGACAATTACATAGAGTCTACTGGTTGCGGTAACAAATTTGCTATATCTGATTTGGAAAGCCAAAAATGAAGCAATATAAAACCATAAAGTTCCTAGACCAGTCACTCTTTATGAGCAGATTAAGAGCGAATGTCAGTAAAGAGCATATGAAAGTTTGGATAGGAAACGGAGATGTAAAGATACAAAGTGGATAAAAGAGTTGTATAAATAAGGAAAAGTTTATCGCATAGTTACAGTAGCTCTAGGCTACTCCCCTACCTAATAGGTATGCCTATATGTCCATGAAAGGTTTTTAAGTTTTGAATTGTAGTTTTTGTTCTAGGTGATTAATTATAATATTTTATTTGTTGAAATGTGAAAAATATAAACTTGTTTACATTAGTTCATGAACTAGAATATTAAGTTAGTACATGTAGGTTGTAGCGGCTGCGATTTTCCCCTCAATAAAAAATAAGTTAGTACATGTATTAGAGTATGAACACGTTGATGTACATTGAAAGGTACAATGTCTAGTAGTGTTATCCATGTACTTTGAAAGATGTGAGGTGCGAATTTAGTTATTATGTTTACATGTAGTGTAGGCTAGGTACATGCAAGATTTCTCCTATAAATAGTCATGTATTCCTAGCTATTTGGAGCAAGTCAAGTTGAATAGAAATCATATTTTCCTCCACTTTCTTCTTTGTGAGTTTGAGTGTCCTTTTGTGTTGTCTCACTCTCCCAAATTTTCTAACATTGTGGTATCAGAGCCGGTGTGTTTGAGAGACAACCAAACTTGGAGAGAAACTGACAAATAGTAATGGAACTCCATTTCAAGTTTCTATGTTCACAAAAGAGATTTATGGAAATTGGTGTATCCGGATAAAGGTCTTGCTTGGTGCCTATGATATTTGGGAACCGGTGGAAGTCGGAGGTGATGGAGCGGAAGATAATGTTGCCTTTATAAAGAAAGATCACAAGGTGATCACTCTCATCCATCAAAGTTTGGATGACAAGATGTTTGAGAAGGTTGAAAATGCAACTACCTCAAAGCAAGCATGGGAGATTCTTCAAACTTCCTTTAAAAGTTTGGATAAAGTGAAAAGAGTTTGTTTCCAAACCTTAAGAGAAGAGTTTGAATCATTGCATATGAAGGAATCCGAATCCGTTTCGGATTACATTTCAAGAGTTTTGACTATTGTCAATCAAATGAAGAGATATGGTGAAGACTTGAGTGATGATAGGGTCGTTGCAAAAATACTACGATCCCTTGATTTAAAATTTAATTATATTGTTGTGGCTATTGAAGAATCCAAAGACTTGGATACCATGACCATTGAAGAATACACGGGTTCTTTGCAAGCACGTGAAGTAAAGTTGAAGAAACCGAAAGAAGAATCGGTCGAACAAGCGTTGCAAGTAAAACTTTCTTTCAAGGAGAAAGATGAAAGGCGTGGCTCGCAACAAAGAGGTCGTGGATGTGGACAAGGTCATGGTGAAAAGGGAAGAGGTGGTAGCCAACCACCATATAAAGAAAATAGGAGACAAGACTCTAATCAAGGAAGAGGTCATGCATTTGGTCATTTTTCATGGGAATGTAAAAATAACGTGGAAGAAAAAAATAATTTTGTGGAGAGCAAAAATGAAGATGGAGATGGTATTTTAGTTCCCGCTTGCAAAAGAGAAGAAAGTGTATAGAGAAATCAATGGTACCTTGTCTCCGGTGCAAGTAGTCATATTTGTGGAAAGAAAAATTTATTTGTGGAGCTTGAAGAATTGAATGGTGGAAACATCACTTTTGGAGACTATTCGCGAGTTAAAATCAAAGGAAAAGGTACGATTTTAATTCGCTTGAAAGATGGTAGTACCAATTAATTCCTAAAATTTTGTATGTAGCGGAGATGAAAAGTAATATTTTAAGTTTGGGACAACTTTTGAAGAAAAATTATGATATTCATTTGAAAGATAAAAAATTGTTCTTGAGAGATGAAAATGGAAGATTGTTAGCCAAAGTTCCTATGGTTAATAATAAAATATTTATTTTGAACCTTCAATGTGATGTTCCAAGGTATTTGCTTTTGTGTACCAAAGATTCATCTTGGTTTTGGCATATGAGATTTGGTCATATGAATTTTGATAGTCTAACGTTGATGAAGAAAGGAGGCATGGTGAATGGATTGCCAACTATTGATTATCCGAGCCAACTTTGCGAAGGATGTCTCTTTGGAAAGCAAGCAAGAAAAGGTTTTCCTAAAGAGTCTTTGACTAGTGCCCGATGGTCATTGGAGTTGATTCACATGGATGTGTGCGGACCAAACAAGCCATCTTTACTTGGTAAAAGTAATTATTTTTTACTTTTCATTGATGATTTTTTTAGGAAAACTTGGGTGTAGTTTTTGAAGGTTAAATCGGAGGTATTTGATACTTTCAAAAAATTCAAGAGCATGGTGAAAAAATAAAGTAGCTATCAAGTTAAGTCATTGCGGTACGATAATGGTGGAGAATTCACTTCAAATGAATTCAAAGTTTTTTGTGAAAATAGTGGAATTCGTCATTTTTTAACTGTTCCAAGATCACCACAACAAAATAGCATCGTGGAAAGAAAGAACCGGACTATTCTCAACATGGCATGGAGTATGTTGAAGAGCAAAAATATGTCAAAGGAGTTTTGGGCTAAAGCAGTTGCTTGTGCAGTGTATTTGTTAAATCGGTGTCACACCAAGAGTATTCGTGACAAAACACCTCAAGAGGCTTGGAGTGGTTTCACGCCAAAAGTTGCTCATTTTACGAGTTTTTGGGCGCATTGCCTATGCACATGTACCGGATGAGAAGAGGTCTAAGCTTGATAATAAAAGTGAGAGGTATATTTTCATTGGCTATGATCAATGTTCTAAAGGTTATATATATTATATAACCCAAGATATAGCAAGGTCACCATAAGCGGAGATGTTGAGTTTGATGAAGATAATGCTTGGGAATGAAAAACTAAAGACCAAGATTACTCATTTAGTCATTTCTTTGATGAAGAAGATGATGAAGTTGCAGAGCAGCCTATCACACCACTTTCAACACCTCCAACACAAGTTCAAGAAGAAGATGAGTCAAGTTCAAGTTCTTCAAGTGAAGTGCCTAAGAAAACTAAAAGTTTTCGTGAATTGTATGAAAATACGAAAGTGGTAAGAAAAGATTTATATGATTTGACTCACTTCACAGAACCGAAGATTGTTGACAACTAAGAGAGGAAGTAGCTCGTTTATTCAACAATGAGCACCTCTGAGAATTCTTGAGCGACCGAGCCAAGAATCACTTCAGGAACAGGGATTCAAACAAACAGGCAGAGCAAGAAGAATCTCAACACGTCATCAACATGATCATCGGCGGGGTTGATATTCCACAGGGGCCGATGTTGAAACGCACCAAGGTATCCATCACTTGCTAGCTTAATTAATTTAAATTACAATTGAAATTGATTTAGATATATATGTATATATTAGGCCAAGCCTTATCACCTCGAGTTGTTGGAAAGTTATTTGAGAAACGGTAAAGATTATATTCACGTGGTGCTCATGTTCGGTATTGTAGGCATGTGTCCCGTAATTCGATAATTTCCTTACTTCCTTGTGGAGCGGGCCAAACGCCTCGGCAGTATAATAGATGCATCTATGGTTTGTGCCGCTCGACCCTCGGCATTATATGTGAGAGATGCTAGTGTTGATACTCCTACCGTGGGGTCAGTTTATGTAGTAAGGGATTTTCCTGATGTATTACCAGCGGATCTTCCAGGTATGCCACCCGACAGGGATATTGACTTTGGCATTGGTTTGTTAACGGGAACGCAACCCATTTATATTCCACCATATCGTATGGCCCCAACAGAATTGAAAGAATTAAAATAACTATTATAGGAACTGCTTGATAAGGGTTTTGTTCGGCCAGTGTACCACCTTGGGGTGCTCATGTCTTATTTGTGAAGAAGAAGGATGGTTCTATACGGATGTGTATTGATTACCGCCAGTTGAATAAGGTTACAGTGAAGAAAATGTATCCATTGCCACATATTGATGACCTATTTGATCAGCTTCAGGGTGCCAGAGTGTTCTCGAAAATTGATTTGCGGTCAGGATATCATCAGTTGAAGATTCGGGAACCAGATATTCCAAAGACTGCCTTCAGGACTCGGTATGGTCATTACGAGTTCCTTGTAATGTCATTTGGGCTGACCAACGTCCTAGCAAGCATAAAGCCTACGGGCTACATTACTTCGAGTTCGAGCAAACACTCACTCAATCGTAAAGCCTAAGGGCTACTCTTACTTCGAGTTCGAGCAAAAACTCACTCGACCATAAAGCCTACCGGCTATATTACTTCGAGTTCGAGCAAACACTCACTCGACTACTAAGCCTAAGGGCTACTCTTACTTCTAGTTCGAGCAGTCACTCACTAGACTATAAAGCCTAAGGGCCACTCTTACCTCGAGTTCGAGCAAACACTCACTCGACTGTAAATCCTAAGGGCTACTCTTACTTCGAGTTCGAGCAAACACTCACTCGACCATAAAGCCATTTGTTGGTGGATAATGAGCCTTTAACTTATGAAGATGCTGCCCAAAATGCCAAATGGAGAAATGTCATAGATGAAGAAATCAAGGCAATCAAGAAGAATGTTACTTGGGAACTAGTCATACTTCCAAAAGGGAAAAGCACCATTGGTGTCATATTGGTGTACACGTTGAAGAAAAATTCTAAGGGTAAGGAGGAAAGGTACAAAGCAAGATTGGTTGCCAAGTGATACAAGAAAAAAGCTTGTATTGACTATGATGAGGTATTTGCACCAGTTGCTCGTTTGAAAACAATTCGTTTTATTATTTCTTGGACAGCTCAAAATCCATGAAAAATTCATCAAATGAATGTGAAGTCGGCTTTCTTGAAAGGTGTTTTGCAGGAAGAGGTTTACATTGATCAACCTTTGGGCTACATGATTGAAGGACATGAAAATAAGGTTATGGAGCTTGAGCACGTTAAGTCACAAGACCAAATTGCAGATATTTTCATCAAGCCGTTGAAGATTGAGCTTTTTCAAAAGTTAAGGCTCTTGGAGTGACGAAACAAGTTTAAGGGGGGATGTTGAATTGTGAACAATTTAAACTTATTTCCATTTGTTTACATTTGTTTACATTAGTTCATGAACTAGAATATTAAGTTAGTACATGTATTAGAGTATGAACATGTTGATGTACATTGAAAGGTACAATGTCTAGTAGTGTCATCCATGTACCTTGAAAGATGTGAGGTGTGAACTTAGTTATTATGTTTACATGTAGTGTATGCTAGGTACATGAAAGATTTCTCCTATTAATGTCTATATATTCCTAGCCATTTGGAGCAAGTCAAGTTGAATAGAAATCATCTTTTACTCGGCTTTCTTCTTTGTGAGTTTTGAGCGCTCTTTTGTGTTGTCTTACCCTCCCAAATTTTCTAACATTATTAACCAAAACAAATAAGGTGCTTTTGAATCCATCATTGTTGACATCACAAAATCTAAACAAACTTCAGTTTTTCAACCAGTCTCTTGAATTCTTAATCACTCAACGAATTTCGTATGCACAGAGGAAAAAGAAAATTAATTTGTATCGTATTTAGAGATGATAGAAACAAAAAAAGAAGAAGAAGATAGTTTTTTGTTCTTCTGGGTTTTAAATGTGAATCAGAAGGTCTGAAATTGTTATTTTTGAAGCTTGAGATCATGAGGAAAGTGATGGGTAGTATAAAGAGTGGTGCAAATACAGAGAAACAACAAAAGTATGAATTATGTAACTATAATAAAAAATGTTGAAAAGAAAATCAAAATTTCTTCGTCTTATTCTTCTCCTCCTTCCGTTTCTCCTTCTCATTCTTCTTTCTCCTTCTCTTTCAAAGTTTCACCCCATATCTTATTTGCAAACTGTCATTTAACATATATACACTTTTTAAAAACTATTTAGCCTATATTCAAGTTTTTACAACTTCACACAAAATACCTCCCTCCTTCTCCTCTCGTCCTTGATCTCGACTTTTAACCGGAAAATCGAATCCCCTCGGAGTTAGCAATTGCGAATCACCAACCAGGTTAAACCTCTCTTCGATGCTCAAGCACCTAGCAAACTTTTCAAACCTAACCGCAATGAACCTAATTTAGTCTCTCTAATAACTCCTTTAAAAGATATCCCTACACTAGAGCTTGACAACTTCTGATCTTTTCAATCTCAAGTATTCTGTTTCTATTAATTACTCCTTCCACTTTTATACTAATAACCTGCTAGTAAAAAATTATTTTACTCTTTCTGATCAGGCAAAAATACTTGAACTTCAGTCATATATGGAAAAAGTTCAAATGAAAAAGACCGAACTTCAGTGATCTACGGCTGAAGTTCGGGAAAAAAAAGCCTGAAACATATGACAAAAGTTGAAGCAAAAATGACTGAACTTCAGCCATATGCCTGAAGTTCATGTAAAAATGCCTGAGCTTCAGGAAAAATGGTTGAACTTTAGTTATATATATGGCATACCAACTTCGGACAAAACTTATAAATTCATAAACGAATTTTTGCAAATTCAGTCTCGTATGTATGAAGTAATTTTTAAAGTAGGTAATTCATAAAATTTTACGAATCTAGGGTATGGCTTAAACAACAATCCTAAAATCGGGTATCTGTGCACTTT